AGTGGCACGATAACAAACAGCTAAATAGCAACCCTTGCTGTGAGGCTGCATACTGAACTAACCTGAACACAGGTGTGCCCACTGATGACGCAATATTGCAAATCAAAGAAAAATATCACAGACTAAGTTACACCACAGCGAATGGTTACGATATTGTACATCAAGTGGCATTTGCAACACAGCTATTCAACAGCCCCTCGAGAAGTGACAGCAGGCTCCATCTTGCTGACACTTCGGGCTGACAACATGAACTAACTGAACAAATGAAGGATATCCACTGAAGACACCAGCATGCAATCAATAGTGTCTCGGTTTCCCTGACAGCTACTATAATCACAAACTTAGGGGTCCTCCCGCCCCCCAGGAGAGACCCATATAACTAGGCGGGTAGTCCAACAGTGACCCCCCCTATCATAACCCAGTGTGAACACTCTTTGCAACTCCCAACAAGAAGTTGCACTGTTGTAAACAGCAACAAAGACAGGCAAGGCGGGATTCTGGGACACAGCTCCACAAATCCCTAGATGACTCTACTCTCGTCACCAGACGACAACCAAAAGAAATTGCCTTAAGTGATTAATTACGTTAATTGACTGATCGCAGCAGTCAGCAACAAAGTACTACGGTAATCACAAACAATTGTCTCACACTAGACAACAACATGATGATACTCTACGTTAATCTTTAACACTTGTCTCTCTCTTGTTAACAATAACTCAAACTTATATTACATCACACTTGACTCCTTGCAAGTATTCAGTGAGTAATTCTCAATTAAGGTCAAACGGACCACTAATTACATCCCCATTGAGTTACGTTAACTAAGCCTACCCTAACTTGGTAGCTTCTCAACAGTCTGTGTCAAAAATTTACTAGTGAGTGTTAATTACCCTAATTAATTCCCTAATTAATTCTGAGCAATTAATTAACTGTCACCAGGACCGATAATTAATCATCCATAAATACGTCTCACTCCGCACTGCCTAAGCAGGTCTCATCAAACACTGTGAATTCACGGGAAAGGAGTTAATTACCCCTAATTAACTAGATGTGCCACTAATCCACTGTCCTCAGACAGGATATGATTAATACAATGATTTATGCTAGCTCCATGACCTCGCTTTACCGAGTCATCGGAGCTCTCCAGATGCTAATTACTCCACTAATTAGCATGAGCCACTAATTGCTATATCCCAGAAAGGTAATTAGTCTCGAGCAAATTACGTTAACACAAATACTGACAGCCTCTGAAAGATCCTCTCCTACTACGTGAATTCAGGATGAGAAGGCTAATTACATAATTAGCTAGAGTGGTCAATTAGTTGTCACACGGACAATTAATTGCTCCCGAGACGTATCTCACTCAAGCTCAACGCTGTTCTCTCTCATAACAGCCCTCACTCACTCCACAATAAGTGTGCACCCCTTATCCAGTTAATTCCTCAAGTATTAACTCACTGAATCCTTAAGTCCTCAACACAACTTAAAGAAACAAAGTAACCCCAGTGTTACATAGGTCACACTACAATGGCATGCAACAACACAAATGCATTGCCCACATATGGTTGCGGCTATTGCAACTCGCTAATTACTGTGCCCACACAATAATGACACACGGTTGTGCAACACACAAGAGTATACCAATATTACTGCCCCCCTTATCTTGCAACCGTTGCAAAGGACTACTGTGAACACACACTTACCTCAGCAAGGCAATTAACCCATCAATTGCCTGCTCTCATTAAGCACTGTGAATTCCCCTGAATAATCCTAGAGGTCCCTTAAACCCTCAACACCGCTACGAGGGCAATAATATCGTATAAACTGATAACAATACTGCACAAACCTGCAACATAATGATGCCGTCAGCATACCCCACATGTTAATGACATCATTAGGCAATCAGTCAGCAATCACATCTACTCACTCACCACACAACACAGTACATAAAGCATGCAAATGAACGCATAGAAATGACATTCACATAATCAATGAAAATTATATCATCAGGTAAATGTAACTCTAACTACACAGACCTCAGGGTACCCACTGACATCCCTGCAACCTGCCCTGCCTACCTCTAATGATTATAATTTACGGTACTCTATGGCATTAATCCAGTCTGAACGATTATATAGAATTGACAGGCTGGATCACTTATATGGTAAATCTCTACACTGACCAGTTACATACTCTAGTCAGTCTACTACACACATATATACATCATGATACTACAGTGTGGTCCCGTGTACTCTCCTTATTTTTTTACTCATTTCCCAGGTCACTACCACCCTAGCTGTCAACACTTTGCTTGCTCCTCATGCGTCGACAAGATGTGGCCCTAGGCTGTCCCGGGAAAGTGGCCAAGGCATGTGGCCACCGCATGGCCCACAGCGCCCCTCCCGAGCTGGGAGGGGGGGGGGTGGTGGTAGCCGGCACGCGGGCTGGCGGGTGGGGAGCCGGCGCACGGGCCGAGCCGAGCCGGGCCGGGCCGAGCGGCTGGGTGGCCTGGGGGTGGCCACGGGTAGCGCATGACGTCATAGCACCCCACCCGGCTGAGCTGGTGCGTGGGGTGGGGTGGGGTTTGGCCGCGCGGGTGGCCTGGGGTGGCCCCCCCGGGCAGCTGGCCAAGGTGGGAAGCGCAGGTGGCCGCGGGCGGCCTGGGGTGGCTGCAGACATGGGTGCCTCGGGCTGGCAGGCTGCCGCCCACAGGAGTACACACGCGGATGGGGAATCACTAACAACCCCATCAAACCAGAGCCTGCCTTGCTTTACACTGGGGTGACAATGGCCGGCGGCGTCCCCAAACTGACGCAGCCTGGCGGAATTCAAAGTCCAACATGGGCCTGTAATATCACACTCACTTACACTGCCCAACACCAATTGTCCATTGCCACTAGACAGGATGCTCAGACCTGAGGGATGAGGGATCAATATGATACACCATGAGGCTCTGCCATCTGCCTCATGGGTTAACACTGCAACTGTCTCTTAGTTTGTCACATCGGCCCCAATTTCACGCAAATTTGGGCCTAGACACAACCCCTGATGGCAGGAGTGCCATGCTCGCTGAGTAATTTGGACAACGGAAGCGATTAACGGGGTGGAGGTGGCCGGCCTGCCACCTCCACCAGTCACTTCTTCCTCCGCTTGCCGCCCAATTCAAACTGCCTCTCTCGCGGGCAGGGAAACTCAAATGCCCATATCTCCCCCCCCCCTACCTTGTCTTGACCAATCAGCACGGAGCCGGCACACTACCAAGATGCCGCTTCCAACCATAGCTCTTCGCACCAAAACTTGGCTTGGAACACAGGTGCCTAAACCAATCACATGCCTCTGCCACCCTCAGGCGTCCTGTGACGTCACAAGGAGGGGGAAGCCTAAAAGACAGTGGCGTACTGTCTCACATGTTGGGGGGGGGGGCAACGTTCACTCCACTCTCCCCCCCCCCCAACCTCTAACGGTTTTAGTCAAGTATCCTCTCATACCATACACTCTCCCCTCCCCATCCTATTTCACAGAAACAGGAACATCTCTGTAATTCTCTCTACAGAGCAATCACAGACTTCTGACTACTCACAAATGATAGACCATAACATAAGCTTTCATTCAATACCCAACAAGTATATGTTAGTTTGAAAGCTTCAGTTTCTAGAGTGACTAGCCTAATCTAGAAACTAGGGAAACTAGCTGAGGGAATCTAGATTCCCTCACACTGTAAGGACCATTCTCCTCTGGCATACTTAACCTTCGGTTATTTGTCCTACTGGGACCCACTGAGAGTGCAATATCCCTCTGAGCAGGTTTATGACTGTTGGCGCTGATGACTGGTAAAGGCATGCTGCCTGCTCTGCCATTTGTCGTGTTAATCATCATCAAATGATTATAACTAGGTATCGGGCGAAATTACTTCAATTAACGTCGCATGAAGAAGCAAGTATGGAAGAGGCAGCTGCCGGACCATCCAGACTCTTCCCCACCATGACTAGTGACACTGTCACCTCACCACCCAGTCATTGGTTTGTGGAGGTGTTAAATAAAAACCAGGGAAGGAAACAAGGGAAATAGAAGCCTGGTGAATAACAGGGTGGACGACCTCCAATAGCACCAAGGGGCGAGTACACACGTCTGATCTTCACTGAAGACACGAATGTGGCGAACAAGATTGTGTAGAGTAAGAAACTGAGCGAGGTTTACTCACCGGGTGATGTAAAGCTCTCCATTCTAGATAATCCAACACGAAACAAAAAGATGGACGAATACCTAGTCTACAGGTACAATCACGAGTTTCCACTAGCATGGGCCTATGATTTAGACGGGGTACACAGAGCACGAAGATTGAACACGAATGGTAAGCCTACTGATCAAATCGTCATAGTCTGGAACAAGACTGAAGCACCACCTGCCTAGTATTGGTTTGGTGGGTTGTATCCGCACCCCAATTCGTCCAGGGCGTGGCAGCCAGGCCCTGTGGAGTGTTACGAGTGCTGTGGCAGTGGCCAAAAAATTAAGTACTGCCGGTGCCTCACACCCAAGTGTGCTCTTTGTTCTAGTGATCACACACTGAAGGACTGTCCGTATAAGAAAACCAGAGACTAACGAAAGCCGGAACAGGAGCTACAGAACACTGTAACAGAAGCAGGGCTACAATCTGAAACTGTGACTCCGTCTAAACCGCCGCTGAATTGTTTCAGATGTGTACAGAAGGAGTGATCATCTGGCACTCAGACTGTACCAAACGGCCAGCCTCCCTTGGCACAAGGAGGCAAGTGCCCGAGACACAAGTGCCTACTGATGCCAGCTCTAGTATTGTTGACTTATCCCACAGCAGTGACATTACCAGCAACGCCCCTGACAACTCATAACAGCCTGAGACAACAGTTGAAGGACAGTTGGTAGCCTTGCAAGCACAGGTAGCAGAACTGGCCGAAATTATACAGACGCTATGTCGGGCTCCTTCACAAGAGATACCGCAGCCTCCACACTGCTTTGGCACAGTCATGACCCGCGCTGGTAAAGGTACCTGCGGTGGTGGTGACGGTGGCGGCGGCGGCAGTGGTGCCAGCGGCGGCGGCAGGGGCGGCAGCGACAGCAGAGATAAGAGTGACAACGGAGGCGGTGGCGGCGACGTCGTTAGTCAATTCCGTGATGACAGCAGTGTTAGTGACACAAAAACATCAACTAGAAAAGGAAGTCCATCCGCATCAGCATATTTTAAAATGATTAACGACCTTAACGAATGTGTTCGAGTCAAGTACCAGAATGAAAATGATAATATTCTGCGTGACAGTGCATATGACATTCATCTTACAGAGAACATTCACACACGGACCATCCCGAGTTCCTCAGAGATAGAGAGACTGATGACATCACCAGGTGTTACTGACGACACCAAACACCAGGTTAGTGTGGTTCTTTACGTCGAGAGTCACTAATTAACACATTGTGTAAGTGGGACAAGGACAACAATGGGACCACCAGTCCCACGGAGGAACAACACCAAAACGATGGCTGCTGTTGACACAAGGACCATTATGTTTCTCAGTTGGAACATTCGTAGCATCAACAAATGACTGAATAATCTTATTGCACATGTTACCAGTAACCACATAGATATAATTGCTTTACAGGAGCCCTACACGTCCAACATGATAAACAAAACCCCACCAAAGATCAGAATGTATGCATCCTATACTGATAGTAACGCCACAGGCCTATTAACATACATCAGAAGTGATTTACCACACATTCTTGTGAGCACGTCACACAATGTACACACACAGTACCATGACTTTTATGTACAAACTGTGGCAGGCCACTTCTCATTCCTCAACGTATATGCCAGAAGCCAGAAACTCAATGTAACATTGCTTCCAAATCTAGACAATCATGGGACAATATACATGGGAGATTTTAATGCTAGACATATTACGTTGGGAGACATTACTAACAACGATAACGGATGCAAATTTATAAAATATGTTTATGACAACAGATTAACTGTGTATACTACGGATACCCAAACTCATTTATTGGGAGGCAGACTTGATTATGTTATGGGTAGAAACCTTGTGCATGATTGGATGGAATGTTGGTAAATCACTTGGTTAGAAATCATTATGCAGTTTCTGCTTCCTATGAAGTACAGTGTGATGTACCTAATAGACATCAGAGACGGAAAATGAATATTCCATATGGTTTGCACGACCACTTTATTAATTGTATTTCAAAATGGTATCAAGATTACACAATAACGAATGTACAAGCCTTCTCCAGAGATCTCGTTGATACAATTACTTCCTACTACGACACATGGGAGTGTTGGGGAACAAGCCATAAGCCTAACAGAAGTGGACAACACCTACCACCACCAAAGTGGGCAACCCGTTCTCGCACTTACTTACAGTCAATATTGGCTTATTTAATAAGTGCATATGTGACATACTAATTGATTGTGAATATTTTAGTTTACCTTGAAAAGCTTCATAGAAAACACCGACCTCACCTAACCTTCTTAGTAGGTTAAGATAAGCATCTTATTGCTTTTTAATTACAATTATTACTTAACCTATACCATTGATAGGTTAAGTAATAATTGTAAATAAGAAGCAATAAGATGCTTATCTTAACATACTAAGAAGGTTAGGTGAGGTCGGTGTTTTCTATGAAGCTTTTCAAGGTAAACTAAAATATTCACAATCAATTAGTATGTCACATATGCACTTATTAAATAATCCAATATTGACTAAAAGCAAGTGCGAGAACGGGTTGAAGTGGGTCCTTGACCCCATATTTGTTAAAGAACATGAACGAGTAAAGAAACTTGGAGATACATACAAACGAACCAAAGTACAAGGGGACGTGCGTCTTGTCGCAAATCGAGAGGTGAGAGACATGAGCAACGTTATATGTAATAAACAATGGGAAGAGTTCCTGCAAAGTATAAATGAGCAAACAACACTTGTTGAAGTTTGGGAAAAGATACGAAAAATCTCTAGAAGCAGCCCAACCAAACCACTGCACCACAGACCACTAGAACAAGCAAACATTCTCCTTGATCAATGGGCACTAACATCAAGCTGCAACTCACTCCCAGTTAACATACAGCACAAACTTAATGACACACGCCCCAACAGTCAACGAACCATCAATCTTGCCTGTACAGCTATCGACGTATCATACCTTAAAAATTATGTAACTGAATGGGAATTAAATCATACACTACAGATGGGCAAATCAACTGCTCCTGGAGAGGACGGTATTACTTACAGTTTACTGAGATCAGTCTCACAAGTACTAGGTAATCCACTTTTAGTGTTGTTCAGAATGAGTTTAAGAGAAGGAGTATTACCTGATCCTTGGACAGAGAGTGTTATTGTTCCTAAATGACACTAAAGTAATCTAAAATAGATCTAAATTATTCTCTCTTGATGACACGGACTTGTAAGTCCAATCTGGCAGTGATGAGGGCGGTATGGTACTAGTCTTCCTTGTATGCATATATATCATAGCTGCGGATAATATTTTGGTTACCCAGATATCCCTAACACACGATGTAATACTCTAACACACGATGTAATACTCTTTCTTACTTACTGTCTCTCATATATTTTATTTTATTTAACTTAAACTACACATTGTGATAAAATGAAAGGATTCTGTCTCAGGTGGATCGTTGACATCCACCCCCCCCCCTCTCCCCCTCCCCCCCTCTCTCTCTCTCTCTCTCTCTCTCTCTCTCTCTCTCTCTCTCTCTCTCTCTCTCTCTCTCTCTCTCTCTCTCTCTCTCTCTCTCTCTCTCTCTCTCTCTCTCTCACTCACCGAATTTCACATAGTTGATTAGGAGAAGCAATGTAAACCCCTCCCCCCAGTTCATATATAAGGTAAGGTAATTATCAAAAGAAGGCACCAAACCGGGAAGGCTATGTAGCACCATCAAAGTGCGAAATAATCAGAGGGCGCTAAATCTCACCAAGAAAGCCAATACGAGAACAAAAACGCATAAGGCGAACGATATCAAAAGTATCCGATTCACCTAGAATTCTATCGAGGGACAAGCGACCGTGGGGGACGGTCGGAAAGCAAGACACACGCTCGTCCTGGAAGTCAGGACATTCAACAAGGATATGCACAACTGTAAGAGGGACAACGCAATTCGGACAATAAGGAACAGGGCGGCGCTCCATTAAGTGACCGTGGGTTAAGCGTGTATGGCCAACCCGCAGACGCGCCAAAGCAGTTTCCCACCGCTGGTTACGGTAGTAGGAGGAATGCCACGGGGATACACTACGTTTGAGAGTACGCAGCTTGTTACTAACCACAGAGGACCAACAACCCTGCCAATGGGCAAGGATGGAGGAATGAATAACAGGATAAAAGTCGGAATAAGGAAGACCTTTACGGGAGATGGGACAAGAACGGATAGCGTCCTTAGCGGCAGCATCTGCACGCTCATTGAAAGAAACACCAATATGGCTGGGAACCCAGCAAAACTCTACCGATTTAAATTTAAGAGAAATAAGACAGCCATTGCTGAATCTCGATGACCACTGGGTGGACAGGATTAAAGGACCCAAGAGCCATGAGGGCACTACGAGAGTCAACTACAACCACAAAGGAGGAATGAGAATGAGAAAGCAAGAGACGGAGAGCATAGAGAATAGCATAAAGTTCCGCCGTAAAGACGCTAGCCTCCGAAGGGAGGCGACACATATATGTACGGTCAGGAAAAACAACAGAGTAGCCCACACCGTCCGCAGACTTAGACCCATCGGTAAAGATGGAAATAGAGTGGGAGTGCGAAGAAAAGTGCTCAAGGAAGAGGCTTTTCAGAATTGTAGGAGGGGTAAAGGCTTTAGTAAGACAAGTCAAGGACGTACAGAACTTGGGAAGGGGGACTCTCCACGGAGGCAAGGAAGGAACAATATGAGGAGAAACAATAGAAATATGAACAGAAAGATAATCCTGCAAGCGAGATAACCAGACAGAAAGTGGGAGACGATGAAGAAGAATAGGAGCTACAGGAGGAGGAAAAGTCAAAGCACGACAGAGGCGAGAGGAAGGATGCTGTAAGTACCGCGCAAGATAGCGAAGACAGTAGCGATCACGGCGGTCCTAGAGAGAGAGAAAGCCAGTGTCAACATACAAACTGAGGGCGGGAGTCGAACGAAAGGCACCAGAGCTGAGACACAATCCAGTATGGTGCAAAGCATCAAGACGGCGAAAAGTAGAAGGAGAAGCAGAAGAGTAAGCAGGGCAACCATAATCGAGTTTAGACAGGACGAGAGAGGAGAGTAAAGATAGGAGCGTGCGTCTATCCGCTCCCCAAGAAGTATGGGACAAAACCTTAAGTAGGTTAAGGGCCTTAGGACACTCAACTCGGAGGTAAGAGATATGGGCTGACCAAGACAAACGAGTGTCAAAGACTAACCCCAAGAGCTCTGCGGAATCCCTGTACACAATGGTGTCATGTTCACAGAAAATGGTGCCATCCGTTTTCTATGTGCGGCGGAGCAGACGCCAGAGAAAAAACAAGAGCGTACAGGACGCCCGCCAAGCTTGGTAGCTACTAGTCATGTATCAGTTTAAGTAGTAAAGTCAGTAACTAAGCAATGACTTTATATCAACCCTACAATCAAGACTTCCTCAGTAACACACAAACACCACATTGCCGACGAGGATGAACTGGGAACGCAGGTATTTTGTTCAACTTAAAACAAGGAAGGAGCATGCTGTCTCGCCCTTGAGGAGGAAGGAGAAATCGTGCTGTGAGCACCATACCCGATGCTATGTGCTAATCAATGCTGTGTGCTAACCAATGCTATGTGCTAACCAATGCTATATGCTACCCCAAGCTATGTGCTGACTCAAGCTGTGTACTGAGTAATCTGAGCCGATGCTGTGTACGAAACGACGCTTCGTGCTACAAAATTCTTCACGCTGTGAACAACTGCTGTACCAACTGCTGTACCAACTGCTGCACCAACTGCTGTGCCAACTGCTGTGCTGCTGTGAGCAGGAACAACACATGTACACAAGGGCTAGGTAAGAAGTCAGTTGCTGCTATATTGTGCACTGTTGTGAACTTTTGCATTAAAATGCTTGTGTGCTTTGCAAAATTAAAGTAATTACAGTGAATTCTTGACTAACATATACAGTGCAGTAAGTGTTTAATATTCTGAGGAACATTTAAGTGATAAGTTACATTTATTCAGTAAAAATGGCAAATATACCTCAGTTTCCTGCATTTGATCCTGACTGTGACCAGACAAACCTGTCACAGAGGTGGGTCAAATGGCTTAAAAGGTTTGAAAATTTGTTGATAGTTTCTGACATCAAAAGTGCTGAAAGAAAGCGTGCCTTTCTACTTCATTATGCAGGTGATAGAGTTTGTGACATCTTTGACACACTGAAAGACACTGGTGGTGCCAAAGAT